ATCAACTTTTTCCCAAAGACTTGTGTTGAATACTAAAGTCACCAAAGACCTTGCTATTAATCAGAAAAGATTTTTTTAACATTGTTCAGAAACTGTAATTTTTGTTCAAGTCGGAGAACGCTGCATTTTGTATTTTAATAAAGACAATGCTGAAATGTCCTTTCTGGCTGCGCTACCCGATACCACCTTTCCTTACAGGAGACACTTTCTTCCTTAACGCTTAACATCATTTCTTCACTATTCATCCACTGCATGGCGTTGGCTCACGTATTTTTTGCTCTGACAGGCCAGCCCCGGGAACCGTCGCCTTTGGACCCAAGGATGTGGCCACCACAGGGATTCCTAGGCGCAGTCGGCAATAGAGACCAGATGCCATCTCGATGCGATGGTTGCGGCCGTTCGTACGCCTATCGGTCCTCTCTTTACCGCCATCTGAAGTACGAGTGCGGCAAACTGCCCCAATTCCAGTGCCCTTACTGTCCCCGGAAGACCAAGCAGAAGCTCAACCTGAAGGAACACATCCGAATGATCCACCCGGGCGAGCCAAACCCATTTGATTTCCCCCTTCTAAAATAATTGCAACAACGTGTCAAATTTACATTAAGGACCAAGAATTATTTTTCCATGTTTCATTTTTGTATTTATTTTCATGTAAATATCTCATGGCTTCATCCTCTTATCTTATAATGGCATAGTTTTATACCAAGGTAAAAATTGTGTTAATTCTGTAGTATTTTTGTTATGTATTATGTCATGTTTGTAATCCAAAACTTTGTACAAAAAATATAAAGTGGAAGGAGCTCAATTACCTCCCCGAATCTCGTATTCTTCCGTCGAAAACATTCCCTTCCTCTCCGCATTCCCTCGCCCGACTAGCATGGCCTGTAACCGTTTTGTGTGCGTTTTGTAGGGACCGCGTGGTTCGTGGAGGCGCCCCTGGACGCGTGTGCGGCGTTCCCGCCTCTGTCCGGCCACCACGCCACTGACACTGCCGCACGCTGTGAGTCTTGCGGCCGCTTGTACAGCCACAAGTCCTCCCTTTACCGCCACATGAAGTACGAGTGCGGTAAAGAGCCGCAGTTCCACTGCCCACTGTGCCCTCACCGAACTAAACAGAAGAGCAGCCTGGCCACACACATCCGCCTCGTTCACCAATGAGTTTGTGTCAATTAGGGACAGGTATTTGCTGACGTCTTAGTTTCTTTATCATATTAAAAAAAAATTACTGCCGTGTTTTTGCCTGTATCTTGCCTTTAAATGGCAGGCACGCCGTTACTGTGCCTCGTTGTAATCGATGCTTTGTTTTACAGGTGGCGTGTTCGACGTGGTGGGTGCCAGCGACTCGTTTCTGGTGGAGGACGTGGCTGACGCTCTTCGCGGCTGGGCCCGGTCCGCCATGGATCAGCCAGCCCCGGCACCCCTGTACAGTGGGCCGCAAGTGAGACCGGCGGTCACGCAGGGCGCCCAGTGCCAGGGCTGCGGGCGCGTGTACAGCCAGCGCTCCTCGCTCTACCGCCACCGCAAGTACGAGTGCGGCAAGGAGCCCCAGTTCCAGTGCCCCTATTGCCCGCACCGCGCCAAACTCAGGGGGAACTTGGACACACACATTCGAGGCACTCACGGAACGGCCCGGCCGCCATGAGTGCGACCATTCCACCGGACTGACCTGTATATTGAAAGGAAAATACTGTCGGAATGCGATCTCAGTAAAAATGCTTGAAAATCGTTTTTTTTTCCTCTTTCGTTTCCTTGTCCTTCAGTTCATCATACTCACAAAGCTCGCCATAACTCGACTGCGCTCCAGACTCAAGGAGAGAGGTGCTCTTTGCGTGTTGCTAACGGCCGTTCTCTGTCCTCAGGAAGTGACAGCGCTCGCATCCGCAGCCGGGACATGGAGGCCATAAGCTGTGAAGACTGTGGCCGCCACTACAACTACCGCTCGTCCTACTACTGTCACCGCAAGTACGAGTGCGGCAAGGAGCCACAGTTCCAGTGCCTCTTCTGCCCGCACCGCTCCAAGCACAAGAAGAACCTGAACCAGCACATGCGTCGTCGGCACGGTGCCGTCATCCCGCCGTCGGGGGCCGCCCCCTAGTCGGTCTGCGCGGGCGAGGCCTCCGGCGGCTTCATGTGAAAAGGCTTGCTTGGTGGATTGGAAGCTTTGTGGTACGGGGCATGGAGGGCAGCACTCGGGCGGACCAGCGGAGCTCTGCGCGGGACTCTGATGATGACTTTCTTTCCCATAGGTTACGATCCCAAGATGCCGGCCGTGAACCGCGACTTTGACCCGATCCGTTGCGAGGGCTGCGGCCGGTCGTACAATTACCGCTCGTCCTACTACAGTCATCGCAAGTACGAATGCGGCAAGGAGGCACAGTTTGGCTGCCCCTACTGCACGCACCGCTCCAAGCACAAGAAGTCCCTCTTGCGACACATCAGACGCCTTCATCCGGAAGTCAAGAGCCTCGCCGTCCTCGAGTGACTTGGAACGCCAAACTTTGTCTATCGAGTCTTTGCTTTGATGTGCCATCGTGTTTTATTCAAGGAACATTATATGAACTGCAAAATATTATATTTTATGTCATAAAACGGGTATAGGGTGTTGTGTTGAGCTACTTTGGGCTAGGAATAAACTATGTGTGTGACATCCTCTATCAATTGGAACACCCCAAAACACGCAATACCGCATAGACCGTAATCGGACATTCACAGACCACCTCCGAAAATCCCGGAAACATTCGAAACCCCCTCTCTAACGTGCCTCGTGTGCTTACAGCTGTAGAGTGGCTGACGCCCAGCTCGGCGTCCGAAGCGGCCGTGTTCTTCGCGGACGGCTCCAGCCTCTCGACGGGATCCTCGGTGGTCGACGCGGTCGGTGGTGCGGACGCTGCGCCGCGGAAGTCAGACCAGGTGCGCTGCGAGGCCTGCGGCCGGCTCTACAACCACCGCGCCTCCTACTATTGCCACCGCAAGTACGAGTGCGGCAAGGAGCCCCAGTTCCAGTGCCCCTACTGCCCGCAGCGCTCCAAGCGCATCGGCAACCTGAAGAAGCACGTCCTGACGGTCCACCCGGGGCAGCCGCCTTGGAAGCCCGAGCCCGACTGGAGATACAGGGCACGCCCGCGCCACGTGTTCAAGTAAAAAACGGCTGTGATTGTTTTTGATTCAAATGTCATCTGACGAATTATTCACGTCCCTCGTTGAAGTTGAAGTGAAGTCCAATAAAGGAAATCGTCTGGGCTGGCAAATTTGTTTGAAAGTTGACCACTGTTCTTTTTCTGTTACCTGGCCAAAACCACTGTTAAACTGTGTTATGCTGTGTAAATAAATATAACCGTAATTTTTTGGAAAATTTGTGTGCTTGAAAAAAGTTTTTATACGTCTTGCCTTTTCGCTATCTATGGCTATGTGGTGGTGGGTAGGGTGTCGTAGTCGAATTAGTGCATGCTCCTAGGATCAGCCTCTAGCCTCGTCGCAATTTCGTTGACTAATTTGTAACCTACTTCTCTCATATGTGGTTTTCAGGTAGCCCAGTACGCTCCCCCAGCCCCCTCGACGGCCACAACGACTACGCCTCGGAACCGGAGCCGGAACCCCAACCGCAACTGGAAGTTAAAACCGAACCCCTTGATCTATCTGAGCTGGAACCAGAAGCTGTGGGTCAACCAGAATCGAATGCGGAACCCGTCGAGCAGCGCCGTCGGCTGGGCCACCCTCGCAAGCACTTCCTGACTCCCCCCGCCAAAGCCGCCGCCAAGTACTGGCCCCTGCCTGCGCCGAAACGCGTCTTTTTCAACAGCTTGAAACCAGAACCCACCATCAGCACCTCCAGTGCTGCTACTGGCAGCCAGAGCCCCCCCAAAGACACGAAGGTGTCATTGGCTCCGAGACTGAAGCTGTCGTGCCTCCGCTGCAGTGAAACCTTTCCTACCCTGATTTCTCTCCAGAACCACATGCTTTTTTCGTGCAAGACGTATACTCTCCTGAGCTGTGACATGTGCCCCTACACCACCAACAGAGAGACCGCCATGGACCGTCATATGGAGAAGATGCACCCCTTCGAGACCATGCCTAGCACCTTCAAGCACCGGCGCACCAAGAGCGCTGGCGCTTGCATCGGCGACGAGAATGTTGGAGGAGTTACAACTGTCAAAAAAGAAACGTTCTGGCAGCATAGCCTGCAATAAGGTTGTTTGAGAAGTTTACATAGAAAATTGTTATTTAGAAAATTTTTAGACCATTTCACCAGTGGGCGCAGTTAAACAACGGAATCATCGGAAGACTTCCGGTGTTTCTGTTGTTTTTGGAGATATCCAGCCGCGCTCGGATTAAATGGTCAATAGACTATGTATAATGCATTTATTTTTACGTGTTATGAACTTTTAAATTTATTGTTTAGCATAATTTTGGTTTGATTCATCTTTTATTATTCTTCTAAGTAATTTGACATGTA